TGCACCTTAATCTTCAAACTGCAAACGCAGGGTCTCAAATTTATGGAGTACAACGATGATCAATCATAACCCAAAATGCACAAATCTGGATGAGCAGAATATTCTAAAAATTAAATTCTTATGTGCATCAAAAGTCTTCTCCAAAAAGAGTAAAAAAAAAGAGAATTGAAAATTATTTGGAAATGGCATATCCAACAAGGATCTACTGTTTAAAAGTTATAGAAAACTCCAACAACACTCAAACAAGAACAACACAAACAACCCAATTAAAAAAGCAGGGAAAGGACATGAACAGACATTTCCCTAAAAGAAATTCAGGCCAATAAACACAGAAATGCTCTTCATGATTAGCCACTGAGAAATGCAAATCAAAACAAGGAGATACCATCTTGCCTCAGCAACAATTACAAAGTTCAATAAGGCAGAAAATAACAAATCTGCATGAGGGTGTGGAGAGAATGGAATTCTCAAACACTGCTAATGGGACTGCAAAATGGCGAAATCCTTGGAGGAGGGTTAGAAATAGAAATCTGATCCAGCAATTCCATTACTAGGTATCCCAAAGAAATAAGAGTTGTGACATGAATGGATTTAGCACACCCATGCTGGCTGCCTCATTATTTAACAGCAAAGAGATGGAAACAACCCAAGTGTCTATCAATGGATGAATGGATAAACAAATAATGGAACATACACACAATGGGATGTTATGCAACATTAAAGAATAAGGGCTTGGAAAACACTGTACAACATGGTTAAATCTGGAGGCATTATGCTGAGTGAAATACATCAGTCACAAAAGGATAAATATTGCACGAATTCACTACTACAAAAAGTTAAGGAAAAGTTTATGGGAATAAGGAAACCTTCTTTGACGGTTACCAAGGTTGGGAGAGGAGTAAAAAAGGAAAGGAAAATGAGTAATTAGATAACTGACACACTACAAGTTGAGTAAAGGAAAAAGCTATAGAAAAGAAAATGATCAGCTTAATGTTACTAAAAAAATAGATATGGAAATGTGCACAAGAGTAATAGGCAGTAGAGGTGAATATTATCACACCCACAATCCCACATCAGTAACAGCAAATCATCTAGGAGGAGATGCATTGGCAAGGAGGGGAATGGGGGATGGGGATGGAAGGGGAGATGGAGATCACTGAAATGGCAGGGTTTGGTCGGTGGACTAGGGAGGAGGGGGTAGAGGAATAGGGGGATTCAGTGGGGACCTGAAGGGACTGTGTAGTAATGGACACGGATCAACAGTGGTTGATTATGTAAAATATAATGTATATGGATCATTGTGTGAAGCACAGTTAGATGAGAGATTGTGTGAAAAAACAGTGTGTATGGATGAAACACAGTATAAATGAATAATGAATGAAACAAACAAAAAAGGTGGGGGGGGCAAAAAAGAGGGAAGGGGAGATGATAACTAGGATGATGGAGGTTGGTGAGGAGGGGAGAGAGTGGGGAAAGGTTCAGTGGTGACTTGAGGGGACAGGGTAATAGATAAGGATCCTGGTAGTTAAGTATGTGAAGTACAGTGTGTACGAGGGATTGTGTGGGGCACAATGCGTGTCGATAAAGTGCAGTGTGTATGGGTGGTTAGTGGTTATATGCAATTCAATTTTAAAATAGTAAAGGGGGATAAAAAGTGTACAGTATAAACAAACACTGGATAGTGTAGATTTAGAAAGGATGTTAAGTTGCACTGTAATCGCAGAGGTGCGCAGTTCAAATCCACAAGATGCTCTGCTGAAGAAGGAGGGGCAATCTCCTGTACCAGTCAGATCCGATTTGATGGTACACACGTACACACACACACACACACACACACACACACACATAAAATTAAAAAAAAAAGAAAGGATGTTAATTCCTCCTCTGGCCAGTACTTGACTGGAACTGTAACAAGCCTGTTAAAAGTAGAATCAAGTCGTGGGTGTTGGGGCTTGGTTGAGGGGAAACATTAAGTCTCACTCAGTACTCTGAGAATATTTGCATTTAAATGGATTTGGAGACTCACCTTGCACTTTTGGGTTTTATCATGTGTGCTGAAACCTGGGAGCACACCTTGTACTTTTGATTGAAGAGATTTCACATTTGAAAGGTCAGCCAAGAAAGGAGGGAAGGAAAAAGAAAAAAGGCAAAGAAGAGACTGTCTGTTTCAAACAAGCTGTTTGTCTTCTGAGGCAGGATAAATTTGGTATGCATCAGAGCCCACTTTCAGGACTTGAGGTTGGAGGGAGTTGGCAAGTAAGCTCACATGTAGCAATCACCTGGATCCTTAGGAATGGAGGTGGGTGGAATACAATGATGGAGAAACAGACTGGGCTTGGACATGATCCTTCAGCACTGCCCACCTAGCTTGCACAGATGTATGGAGAAGTAGCGGCAGCTTGCACAGATGTATGGAGAAGTAGGGAAGAAGGGAAGTTGGCTTGAGGAGCAGGGAGTCATGAAAACCCTTGGCTTGCAGACTAGGTCCCATGTGGGGTCTATAGCTGAGTGAAGAGGCCCATGGGTCTGGAATACAGGGGGAAGTGTGGACTCCTGAGTCTGTGGCTGAGGCCCATCTGAACTTACAGATGTGGGGGATAAATTGGCCAGAACCCAACCAGATGAAGAGCAGATGATCGAGGCTGTGTGCTGGGGTTGACTGTTGCAGTCTGATGGCTTGCTCTGGACTGGACTTTGCTTGTGGACACAGATGCTCAAAGTTTCCAAGGTGAACAGAAGATTCTTCAACAAAAGGGATATGCTTATTCCCTCAGAGTACTGGTTTGATAGGGATGGGCAAACCAGAAACTAACTATCTAAAATGGGCATATTAACGCTTGAGGCATGAAGTAGCTTGCTTGCCTGCTTTCACAAGTGGAGTTATTAATAAAATGATCGTAAAGGATAATCCTCAAACTATACATGGACAAAATATAATGTAAATGAAATATGGTATAAAACACAATGACCATGCATGTGACACAATGTATACGAATGATAAAAATGTTAATAAAAAAGAAGGGGGGAGGAGACACAGAGGCAAACATGGAAGATGATTCGATATGGGCAAATGAAAGGGGCTTCATCCAGGACCATAATATTTCTAGTTTCATATTAGTGTACATTGTAAATATATCCATGTATACAGCAGAGCCAAGAGGGGGCAAAATATCTTGAGGAAATGAGTGACGGGTCTTGGAAACTCAAGACCATACTCTCAGGGGACATCAAAGTCAAATGCCAGAAGACAGCTCACAAAGTCAATGCTCTACTGTCTACCTACTTTGGTGAGTAGCCTCTTGGGTCTTAAATGTTTGCCAGAGGCCAATGAGGTGGAATTACTGAACTCTTTTTGTCTGGAATAAAGAAGAGCAAAGACAATTAAAGACGTGTGGAAACAAAGTAGTCCACAGTACTAATGGACCTTGAGAACCTCAACCTCCACAATCCCGAGACCAGAAGAACTTGGATGGTGCCCAGCCACTAACAAATCATAATAGAAGGTTCTGGATAGAGTAGGAAATAAATGTGGAACAAAGCACAAAATTACAGCAATAGCTAAACTCACTGGTCTGTAAGAGAGAGGCTCGTGGAATCCCTGAGACTATGACCCTCAGCTGTTCTTTGAGCTTGAAAATAAACTCAACTCACCAAGCAATGGACAGGTCTATCAGGTGAACAATAACACCAGGGACAATTCAGTCCATAAACAATCAACATTGCAAGATCAATCAGTCAGATTTACCCAGTCAGAAGGCAGGAAAGGATGAGCTAGAGGGATGAATGGCAACAAGTATCTCAGGGTGGAAGTGGAAAGTGCTATTACAATCTGGGGACTGCAATCAATTTCATAAAACAAAATGGGTATGAATAGTTAAACAGAGGATCAATCAATCTGCTCTATAAACTTTCACTCAAAACCCTATAAAAAGTTAAAAAGAAAGAAAATTTCCTATTGACTATTCCCCATCAATTACCTTCACCTTTTGTGTTTCTTCTTTTTTTTTTTTTGCTTTCCAATGCTGTTCAATTTAATTGTAGTAATACATTTATTTACATTTTCTTCCTTATACCATTATAACATAAGCCTTTCCCTCTCTCTCAAGGTATTGCTCTCTGTACTGTATTTTCTTCGATATCCTTATTATTCATGCTTTCCTGAATCAATCTGCAGTCAAGTACACTAGACAAACTTCTCAGTCTTGCCACTTTGTCGTCTTTCTCTAAATGACTTTCTGATAAATAATGCACTGCTGATTTCAGCCCTGAATATGATCTGAGGTTTTGTTTCCTAAACTTAGGAATATAGACTGTGGATGTGATTGTTAATCACAATCTCTTTTCTTTACCTGCCTGTTTTATGCTTCTTTGTATTCTTCCTTCTATTATCTTTCATGGTTTGAAAAGACTGTTTTACTCTTAAATGCAATTTGAAAGATAAACACATCTTATTTTAATTGTTAGTGATCACTAAAACAGACTTAAACCTCTAGTTTCCTGTTTGATTTGTGAAAATCCCAAGCATTTGTCTTTGTCAATGGTCTCAATCCCATGGTGGGGTAGACAAGGGTATAGGTTCCTCTGGGGGTCACATCATCTTCCACTATCTCCTACCGCAAGAAGGTTAGACTCGTGTGAGCAGCTTGATGTGCTCAGAGCCCCTCCTCTTTAAACACTTCTCCTTGACAAATGTAACTAGAATAGAAGGTGAAGTGCAGTCACAGGCCAGGTCTCCTTGGTCAACTCTGCTGTCTGCTCCAGTCTCAAGCAGGTGGCTGACTGCCATGCACTCATGTCCCCATGTTCAGCACAGGCCTCACCTACCTGTCCTCACTGGGACTCAGCTGATTTTTGCAGGTTCATGAACTAGACAACCAGAACCTCAGGGCAAGAGGCTGTGTCTCCACTCTGGCCCTCTGATGTTCTCTGTAGCTTGGCAGTGGTCAAGGTCTCAGGCCTGGGGACTCAGTCCTTAGCAGGAGACAAGGAAGTATTCTTACCTCAAACTGGATCAGCACTGTCCCGCTTTCAAGGCCCTTCTTGAGCTGTTCCATGGATCCCTCTAAAGTGTCCCCACCCTCCGGACACATGGGGAAAATGGTCTCGGGAAAAAGCTGGCTCAGTTCATCTTCAGATTTGATGTCAGCAAATGAGGGGACAACTGCAAATGTACAAGACAGCACGTCTGGTTGGCGGAGTAACACTTGGTTTTATCAACTTCCCTCAAAAAAATTACACGTACGACACCTGAATGTAGATGTCTTAAAACACCCTATTAAATTATTTCGCACACATTAATCATTTTCACCAAAGACACTACTTGGCACGGAATGATTCAATATGTGTTAATTACATTAAATGACACACTAATCTTTCTGGTTTATTTTAAACGGTGATGTTTAGTACTCAGAAGCTTTTGCCAAAGGACGGGAACAGATGAAAATGTGTTTGAAGAAAACACAGTTTTAACTCTTTGATTGCTCTGACAGGGCTATTCCAGCCAGCTGGAGGCCATCACCTAACCCCCACCCCACTCCTTCCTATTTGGGCTCCTTTCTGTTTACTCCCTTAAAATGGGCATTTAGAGGTATCAGTGTGGGTTCTGATAGTTTCTGTGACACCATCTGATACTGAGAGTTCAATTTCTAATTCAAGGTCATTTTGGTGTGGGAGGATCCCAAGCAGAGCATCTCTAGTCCTGACACCTCTAAGCTTCAGCCCTAGGGAAAATGCTCCCTTCAAAACAAATTCACCAACTCAATCTAAGGCTCCCTTTCTTGTCTTTACAACAATCCAATCCAAGACTCTCTTGTTCCTGACCTTACACAATACTTCTCTCGCTTGATATGCTGTGTCCCATCTATTCTTCCCTTCTCCAACATCTCAAATTGGGAACTTTGAAATTACTTCTGAATTTTTCTTTTTCACTCAGAAGAGAAGCCACTCCTTTACCCTAAACCATCCATGGCTCCCTACTGCCATCAGATAGCAGGAGAGAGAAGGAAACTAGCAACTGTTAATACACAGGGCTACTCCCAACCTTCCACACTCCTCCAGGCCCCCAGATCATGGGGCCTAACAGAGGCCTCGGGAGGTGGGAGGACAATTCTACCCATTCCCGACCTGGTTTTCCTTTCTTTATTTGAGAATAAGTTAAAGAAAAGTTGTATGCCATCAAGTCAGAAATGACTCACAGCTGATACTCCACCAGTGTTTCAGAGCCTGTAAATCACACGGGAGAAGACTGCCCATCTTTCTCCCTTGAAGGAGCTGTTAGATTCGAACTGTGTGCCTTTGGGTGGCTGGCAGCACAACTCCTTACACACTAGGCACCAGAGTGGTATTGGGATACTATCACTATGACCACAGGAGAACTGAAGAGGATGCTCATGTAGAGCTATCCGCTCACTGCAGGTGAGGGACTGGGACAAACATCAGCTATTGTTACTAATGACCACCTCCTGTGTAGCATGGAGACAGGCACTGGTGAGAAGGGGGAGGTGGGAGAGGCAGGCCTCATGGAGGAGGCAGGCTTGGAGTAGAGAGAAACCTGAGAACCACATGCACAGGTAATGGGCTGTCTACACATTAGGCCAAAGCCACAGATGCAGGCTCACCCCTCAGAGGAGCAAAGCAGACTCAGGGACCTGCAGCAGCTGAAGCTGCCTTAAGCTTTCACAGCACAGAACAACAGAAGCAGCCTTTTGTGGTCTCTCACATCTCAGTAAGCATGCTAAAGGCTCTGAGCATCAGCATCATTTACCTACGTAACAACCCCAGGATGTAGCTATTGTTTTGACCCTTGTTTTACACTTAAGAAAACAGAAACACAATCCAGGTAAAGCGCTTTCTGGAGTTTTCTCCTGCTATGAGAGGCATCACTGGGGAACACCCTCGGGAAGCCTTGGCGAGAGGCCTCACTCTGCTGAACGCCTCTCCTGCCAAACAACATGTACCTGAAGACAATATAATCTGATCCTTGAGAACGGGTGAGAAATGTAAATGTCAGAAGGTTCAGCACCTCAGAAAGGTATGGGATGTGGACAGGTAAGGCCTGGGATGACCAGGGAGGCTCCAGCCCTGTTTAGAGGAGATGGAGGGTGATGTTAAGCACCAAGATTGGCCCCAAGGGGCCAGGTCCCAAGTTGAGAGAGAATCTGATTTTTCAAATGACATCTAGATGGCTACATGGAAATACCTGATTTTAAATGTTGGCTACCAATTAAACTTATACGAAAACATGGGATGAATCAGATAAAGTCTGCTTTGCTCAGGCAGTGACTCAAGCTCTCTCTCTCTCCCATCCCACTGACTGTGCGGGGCTCTTACCTTTCCTCCTGATCACCAGGGCCAGCTCCCTCGTGTGGGACTCCCGGCTGGCTTTGATGAACATCACCACTTGGTCATGGGTGTGTTCTGAGATGTCGCGGCCATTAATTAGCACGATTTGATCCCCTTCGTTCAGCTTAGGAATGCAGGTGTCCGCCTGTGTGAAGAGCAAGGCGAGGTCCTTGGTTACCGTAACAAGAGCCCCAAGGGGCCCAGGCACCCGAGGTGGTGACGGCGTGCTCCTTTTCTCCCTCAGGTGTTACTGCCATTATTTTCACTTCCACTGCTGTATCGAGATGGGAGTAGAATCTTAAAGAAGGGCTTCTTGGGACATAAATGATGAAGCATTTTAAAATAAGACTAAGAGAACTGCCAAAGTAAAATGACCAACCTTTAATTATTATAATAAAGATGGTCATGTTCCCCAGCTTTGCTTTTTCTAGATGAACTGCTGGGAAATGGGCCTTTACCCATTCTGTAAAGCAGAAAGGTACTGGAAGCTCACCACCAAAGACAGAACCAATTATGGAGAGAGGCCACGAGAGCTGAACTGCAGTGCTACATCTAGCTAATTCACAGAGGCCACAGACAGTAGCAGAAAGAAACTGCATGCTTAAGCCCGTACCCTCATAGTGACCCTGTACGACAGAGCAGAGCTGCCCCAAAGATGTAATCTTCACAGGAGCAGACTGTTACATTTTCCTACTGGTTCCCCTCCCTTTTTTTACTGATTTTTTAAAAAAAAAATTACTATTAATTTCAATTTAAAATTTATTATCAATTTCAATGAAAATTTACAGAGACTTTGGATTTCCATTCATTCATTGTTGCAGTTTTATTCCCTCCCAACCCTCTCTCCTAGTACACTACCCTCTTGGAAAAGTAAAAGAAAAATTCTTCCATTGTTTTACAATCCTTTCCCCCCATCTACTCCACTATACAGCCTTCACTCTGGACTCCTGTCATGACAAAAATACCTAATCATGTATCCCTTTTAAACAGTTTTCTCCCTCATCTGTTTCAATGCAGTATACATTATTGAATCCATCTTTCTCAGTCTCCCCCCAACCCTGATGTCAGTCCTGTTTTACAACAGTGGCACCATGCAGTATTTGTCCTTTTGTGACAGAGATACTTCATTCAGCATAATGTCCTCCAGGGTCACCCATTTTGAATAATATTTCATGAGTTCCTTGTTTTTCAATGCAGCATAGTATTCCATTGTGTGAATATACCACAGCTTCTCTATCCATTCATTTGTTGATGTGCACTTAGGTTGTTTCCAATTCCTTGCTATTGTGAACAAAACCATGATAAACATGGGTGTGTATATTTTATTGATATTTTAATGAAAGTTGACAGAAAATTTGGATTTCCATTCATTCACTGTTGCACATTTTCCTCTCTTCCTGCCCCCGCCACCCAGTTCCCTTTTCTCTTTAAAAAGATTCCTTCATTGTTGCACAACTCCCCCATTTCCACCCCAGTCCACTCTTCTATGCACCTCTTATTCTGGACTGTTGTCATGCAAATAATTCTTAATCATACATTTCTCTTAGACAGTTCTTTCCCTCATCTATTTAAATGCAGTGTTCATTATTTATCCTTTCTTTTCTTAGTTCCCTCCCAATCCCCATATCAGTCTTGTTTTATAACAGCGGCATTTTGCTGAGTCACAAAAGGACAAATACATTTTCCTCCAGTTAAGCGGATGATAGGCACAAACTTCTGACCATCAGAGCTTCTCCTAGGAAGGATTTTTTTAAGATTGATGCCTTATACAGAAAATTATCTCAGAGGAAACTTAAAGAGCTGCAGGTGGAGGAAGTGGGATGGGAGAGAGGGGAACAAGCTACTCTACTCAAAGTGTGCAAAACAAAGCAATATCTGTGCCCCAATTTCCTTCTCCTGAGCAGCACTCCTCATACGTTAATGTGCATGCAAATCACCAAGGAGTCTTGCTGAATTGCAGCATTCAGACCAGTGGGGGTGGTGGACTATGGTGGGCCCTAGGTCCTGTACTTCTAACAAGCACACCGGTGGGTGGGGTGCTGCCATTCCATGGACCACACCTGAGTACCAGCAAGGTTCTAAAAACCATGGCGTCTACACATTCTTCCAGCTAGATGCATGGATTCACACAACACACTCTACTGGTGGCAGAAAAGAAACAGAACACAGATGCAGCACTCTGAGGTTTAGGGTCAAATCATAGAACGGGCAGTAACACAGGACATGTTTACTTACAGGTGACTCTGGGTTTATCCTTGACACTACAAGAGGCATCTTCTGATCCACTCCTCCCTGTAAACATTTTAAATTAAAACAACACTTTAGCTCATAGTAATACAGAAACAGAGATGCCCATCAAGTGGGATCTCCCAGCACACAATCACTGGGCTGGCTCCCTTGCAGTACTGGGTAAAAAAGTGTCAGGCTCTCTGGATCTTGTGGGCTAACCAGGGGTGAATCTATTCAGAGCCTCTTCCCACCGCCCCCACACTCTCTGAACTGGAGACTTGCTCAGAAGGAACATGTTCCTCTTTTAAAGTGCAAACGTCAGGATGAAAGGGCCTTCAAAGGTACATCTCTAAGTCCTGCTGGAAGAGTGAACTTTCAGTGGATGAGAACAGCTGAGGAAAGGTCACAAGCTATCAGGGCCGTAAGACCTGGGAGGCAAGGAGCTGTGAACAGACAGGAAGTGGGCAGCAGAGACCACCAGCTCTGGAGCCAAAGTTGGCACGCTTTTCCATAAAGGACCACTTGAGGAGCAAATGCTCATTACTGTAGAGTCAGAACCAACTCAAAGCTGGCCCTCCAGTGGGTTTCAGAGACTGTAAATCACATGGGAGTAAATTCCCATTTTAGTCTAGTGGAGCCACTAGAGGATTCTAACCACCAGAGGCAACACCCCTGGGTCAGTAGTGCAACTAATGCAATACTCTATCCCTATGCCATCAGATCTATCCCCAGACAGTAATAAATACATGCTGCAGGACAGAAGTCGCTTGTAACTATTCACTTCAGATTCTGAGGTACAAAAGTAGCCATGAACAATTTGTAATTAAATAGGCATATGTTCCAAGAACATATGACAATTTAAAAAAATTGGTGGGACTTGTGCCCTACAAAGATGTTGATGACTCACATCTCTTAACAGATTAGCAATGCTGAAGGATTCTCAGTCCATTTTATTACCAAAAACCCTCTTCACGGAGTGGACCTAATCTCTCAAAGTCTCGGTGTTCATCTGTAAAATGGGTATAAAAATATCAACTTCATAGGTTATCAGGAGGTGATTTGGTGAAGTGATATAAAGCAAGAGCCCGGCAGATGCCAGGCCCACAGGATGAAGCAGGTGCCACAGCCAACACCAAAACTCCCCAACCTGAAAGTGGAGCCAATTTACTCACGGAGCTCTAGGTGTGTGGTACATATCCCAGGCAAATGAAAAAGTCACCTAAAGATTTTTTATTTTTAAAGCACAAAAATTCCTTATAAATTCACACAGCGTACCTTAAGATTGAATCCAAATTTTCCTTCTTCGTCTGGTGTGATACGGATCAAGATTAAGTAGCCATCACCATCATCATTCTGGAAAACATTGGAAAGTGGTCAATTACACTATTTCTCTCCCCAGCTGTTGATAATAACATAGTTTTCTTTTCATCAGAAGTACTTCAATGTCCACAGAGTGCCTTGGCACCAAGTCCCCCAGCTCATCCTGTGACAGCAGTACCGGCTGGAGCCCCTGCCCCCGACTCACCTTGTCACAGTAGTACTGGCTGGAGTCCTCGGTGGAGCCCCCCTTGGTCACCCTGTGGTAGTCTTCTAAGAACTGCTGGTCGACGCTGTCTGGTGAGCAGGAGCCTGGAGCATTTGAAGATGGAGACACAGAACTGGATGACTTCTGGGTCAGGCAGCTTTGTGCTGGGTTGTTCTCGGATATACTCCTTCGTCATGGGGAAGGAGGAGATATTTTAATAACTGGATTAATATTTCATCACAGCAAGCATTACTGACTATTGGGCTTGGTGTCCCAGGATTGCCCGGTATCCCTCAAACTTTCTGGAGCCCCGGAGCTCAACCCTGGGGCCATGGCACACCATCAGCTCTCCTCCCTTATCTGCTGTTCAACATTACTTTTGGTTCTGGGGAAATGGGTCACGGGAGAGGGAGGAGAATATGAGAGCTGCTCAGAACTAAGCTCCCCTCCTGCTGCTTAAAACGGGCAGCAGTGGGATGTGTCCAGTTACAGGTACTTTCACCACTGAACCAGGCTTGGTCAGGTAAGCACATCTGTGCACCTTCTGAGAGCTTTGTTCACCCTTCTCATTCCTGCTGACAGTTATGGTTCATAGCCCTGTCAGATAGCCAAAGGGAACAGGACTAGGAACTATATTGGGAAAGTCATCTGTGTCATCTTTCTGCAAAAATGTATCAGTAGCTCACACTGAGATAATGTTTTATGGCCCCCCATCTAATGTAAGTCTGTGTATAATGTGTATGTCAGAATAGTACTATTCCATGGGTTTTTAATGACTAATAGTTGGAAGTAGATCTCCAGGCCTCTCATTGGAGGTACCTCTGGATAGATATAATCTCCAATCTTTTGGTCAGTGGCCAAGTATTACTATAACCCAGCGACTTTTCATTTAACATACACCCAAAACCAAAAGCTACCACCATTGAGTTGATTCTAAGTCAGGACATCCCTCCATCAGCTCTCTGAGGCTGTAAAGCTTGGCAGGAGGAAGTTGTCTCAACTTTTTTCCAAGGAGCAGGCATTGGATTTGAAGTGCTGACCTTGTAGTTAGAAACTCAACACAGAACGCGCTATGCCACAAGTGCTCCATCATCTCATAAACACGTTCTATATTTTAGAGCCACAGAGTCAACTATGGAAGCTACTATGTGACTATTTACATTTAAAGAAATGATGACTAGAAAAGTAGTTCCTCAGTTGTATTAGTCAAATTTCACACACTCAAAAGTCTCAAGGGTGCCCAGGAGGTACAGTCCAGAAAGCTATGCTGTTAACCCAAAGGCCCTATGTCTCTGGAGGTTCAAATCCACCAGCCGCTCAGAGGGAGAAAGCTGGGTCACCTCCTCCTGTGTATTTACAGCCTCGCAAACCTAAGGGAGGGTCAGCTATGAGTCAGTTCTGACTCGATGGCAATGAGTTTGAGTTTTTTAGTTCAAAAGCCACATATGGCCAGTGGCTCCTGTCCTGGACAGCACAGACAAACGTTCTCATCAGGACAGAAAGCTCTACTGCACAGAAGTGTCTCAGATAATCATGGGCTGTAGAGCATAACAGACCTCTGTGGTCGTCTGGTCCAGCTCCATTTTCCAGCTGAAGAAGCTGAGGATGAGCGAGCCCACATGAGTGGGCAGAAAAAAATCAACTTTTGTAACACACTCCACCTGACCTCTTTCAGATACTTTTTTAAAAAAAAATTGATTCTTCAGTAAGTATTGGTGTACAAGAGCACTTCCTCAAAAAGTTGAACACAGAAATTCTATATGACCCAGCTACTCTCCTGCTTGGAATAGACCCCGAGGGAATAAGAACTGAGACATAAACAGACTCTTGTACACCAATGTTCAGAGCAGCGTTATTCACCATCTCAAGAACATGATCAGCCCAAACATATTTAGAAGTTATGGCACATTCACACAATGGAATACTACACAGTGTGCAGGAACAATGATTTACCTAACTTGGGAAGGACTGGAGAACATTATGCTAAGTGAACTAACTCAGTCCCATAAGGACAAATACTGTATAAGACCATTATTGTAGATCCAGTATGACGATACAAGCAAGGGGAGGGTGGGAGCAGAGAGGTGAAGATGGAGGGTTGTTAATTACAGAGTCAAATTATATGATTGGGGAGTGTGTTTGAAGGAAATGGGAAAGATCCAGTAAGAAAAACAATGTATTTGAACTTTGTAAATAAACCAGTTGTTGTGGTTGTGTTGTGTATCATGAGTAGGAACCAATCTGTTGTTGACCCTCCAGCGGGTTTTCAGAGAGAGTTAATCACATGGGAGGAGATTGCCTATTCTTCTCCAGAGGAGCTGGTGGCCTCGATCTGTGTGCCTTTGGTACTGCAGCAGAGTTTCTTGCCAGTAGGCACCCAGATTATTTATAAATAAATATTAAATAAACTAGTTGTTGTTATGTGCCGTTGAGTCGTTTGTGACTCATAGTGACCCTATGTACAACAGCGTTAAACCCTGCTCTGTCCTGTGCCAATCGCATTGCCTCTGACACACCCATCCTGATTACCCTAGTCACTGAATCGATCCACCTCATAGAGGGTCTTCCCCTCCTGCGCTGTCCCTCTACTCTATCCAGCATGATATCCCTCTCCAAAGACCTGTCTCTCCTTACAACATGTCCAAAGTATGTCAGACGAAGCCCCAGAATCTTTGCCTCCAAGGAGTAGCCTGGTTTAACCCTCTCTAGGATGAATCTATATATTTTCTTGGCAGTCCATGGTACATTCAATACTCTTCTCCAGCACCACAGCTCAAAGGCGTCAATTCTCCTTCTGTCCTCCCTAGTCATTGTCCAGCTCTCTGATGCATAACAAGTGATTGCAAAGACCATGGCCTGTATCAGGCACACCTTCATCTCCAAAGAGACACCGTTGCTCTTGAGTACTTTAGAGAGGTCCCTAACAGCAGACTTTCCCATCACAATACGTTTTTTGATTTCCTGGCTGCTGGTGCCAAGAGTGTTGACCATGGAGCCGAGCAAACTGAAGCTGTGAACAATCTCAATCTCTTCGCCATCCATCCTGATGCTACCAATTGGTCCAGTGGTGAGAATCTTTGTCTTCTTGACATTGAGCCTCAGTCCATATTGAAGGCTGCAGTCCTTGACCCTCTGCAGTAAGTGCATGAGGTCCTCCTCAGTTTCAGCGAGCAAGGTTGTGTCATCTGCATAACGCAGATTGTTGATAGATCTTCCACCAATCCTAACGCCACGCGTCTCCTCATAGAGCCCAGCCTCTCGGATAATCTGTTCTGCATACAGGTTGAAAAGGTATGGAGATAGGACACATCCCTGGCTCACACCCTTCCCAATTTTGAACCATTCAGTGTTGCCCTGCTCTGTTCTGATGACTGCCTCTTGGTCCAAGTATAGGTTTTGCATTAGCATGATTAAATGTTCAGGGATTCCCATTCTTCTCAGAGTCAGCCACAGTTTGTTATGATCCACGCAGTCAAATGCCTTTGCATAATCAATGAAACACAGATAGACATTCTTCTGGTATTCTCTGCTTTCAGCTAAGATCCATCTAATATCAGCTACAATATCCCTAGAACCACGAGCCCTTCTAAACCCAGCCTGGACTTCTGGCAGTTCTCTGCTGATATATTGCTCCAGTCGGTTTTAAATAAACTAGTATAAAATAAGTTAAAAAGCCTACAGAATACATGCTTCTCTCAATTATCTACAGATTCTGCCTTGAAGAGGTCAAGGTCAGAGACAGCACAGAGATAAGGGAGTGGACAAAGTTAAGCCAGTGACACACAAACAGAAGGCTAACACACCTCAACCAGTTTCTGCCAACTGGGATCCACGGCCACATGGTTGGTTTTTCAGAAGGTGACTGACAAACTTTCCTTCTGCGGTTCCTCTAGGTGGCCTTAAATTCACAGCCTTGTGGTTCATAACCAAGTATTTAACATCACTACCCAGGGCCTCCTACCACCTCTGACTCAAGCTTTGTATCAAAACCTATATCCAGGGGTTCTTCATAATAATATTGTTTCTCAATCTTAAAAAAATCTAAATTAGTACACTTTAAATATAAAAAATATGTATGTATCATATTCATGTAGAAAGATCCACATTCTCAATTTACTTGAATTAAAAATGTTAGTGGCTGACAGGTATATAATAAATATGTCATAAACATGGTGTATAAAGCAAAGATTTTACAGATGAAAAGGTGTTTCAGTGAGAAGATATTTTGTAATCAAAGCCGTATATTAGTGGAAAATTTTCAGACAGAAAGTTAGTAAAACTTTAATTTATTTAAAAAAAAATAAAATTCCCCCAAGTAAGGTAACTTGAATAAGGTTTACTGTTTACAAGATCACCACCTAGTGGCAGGAAAGGACCTGAACTTTTGATGTAAACTTGCTCTCAAAACTTAACTGCTTTTGGAGCCAACTCATAGCTGACCATCCTCTGGGTTCTCAAGGCTGTAAATGGTATAGAAAAAGACTGTCCATCTTTCTCCTGGGGAACCCCTGGTGAATCTGAAGCACCAGAGAACTTTGGGTTAGCAGTGCAACAACTCCCTATAGCCTATTACACCAGGGATCTCCTTTAATGGGAAGAAGTTGTAAATAGTTAAGGGAGCTCTGGTGACCTATGGGGTAAGGAGCTCTCTGGTGACCCACTGGGTAAGGAGCTGCTCTGCCATCCCAAGGCAGGTGGTTCAAATCCATCAGCTGCTCCAAGAGAAAAAGAAATTGCCTCCCAAACAAATTACAGCCTCTGAAAACACACTGGAGAGTCAGCTATGAGTCGACTTGATAGTATTGCCACCACTACTCTAGAAGAATGAGAAGGGTATCTATTATCTATCAGTGATGGAAAAGGTAAGCAATACACAAAAAGTATTAACGAAAGGTAACTCTGAGTAAAAGAGAACAGATCAATTTCAGTATCATTTTAATATTTTATAAACCATGTTTTTAATTAATTTCATTAAAAAAGTAAGACAAAACCATGCATGGTTATCTTGAATTTGTGGAGCTCATTATATGGCGTTTAATGTAGCTATATTTGTCAGTTAAAATTCCACCAGTCTATCTAAGATAGCTCATAGTACTAAAAATAAGAATTCAAAGGCATTAATTGCCTAAATGTCTTTTCTAAGTAAGGATAAGAAGGTTACTTATAGACAGCAACTTATTTAAATAAAGTGTGTTGGTAGTGGATCAACTGCAGGCTGCAGAAACTTTGTCAGTGTGGAGGATGGACAGACAGATGGTGAGGAGGACATCAACTAATGAGAAGCAAGGAGGAGGTGACAAAGTCAAGGGCAACAGCCTGCAGAAGAGATGATGGTGAGTGGCTAAACAGGGCCAATGTGGGCAGGTAGGCAGAAGGGTCAACTTAAGGGATGCTTGGGAGATTGAATTAACATCGTGACAAATTAGATAAAGAAGATAAAAGCAAAAGAGGGGTCATGGATGACTGAAGTTTCTGATAGGTGCAAACTAGACGGCATTCAAAAGACGGGTTCATTCACTGAGATGGACCAGGAGCCACAGGCTGGTCATCACGGGCAAAGCTGAGCTGAGACTGGGCTGAACTGAATTTCAGGTATTTGTGATATGCCCATACACAATTGGGAAGATGGGCAAGTTTCACAGAAACAAAACATAAAACTCTCAAGGATATTCTGTTCCTAGCTCCTGTCCTCTGAGGGAGATGCCCAGATGGTATATGAATCCTCTTCCAACAATCAACTCCAGATGTCATCCTCTAGTAAGGGTTTGAAGTACACTCAGAGAATGATTACTGAGCCGATGAGAGGAATGGCTGAAGGAACTGGAACAGTTTCATTTAAACAAGACCAAGTTCTCAGGCAGGTTGAAAACTAGCTGTATTTGTGATAGTCAAGCAGCTCATAGTGGCTCCCTATCATAGAAAGCCTTGCAGCACAGAAATGGAAGAACACAGGAAGAATGGTTTGTCCAACCACAGAACAGGCTGCCTTACTGGGAAGGAGTCCTTTGCTGCTGGTAGGCCCTGGATGACCAACTGGAGCATTAAGGGGATCCTTCTATTGTTAACATGGCTGAAAAACAGACTCTCTCTCCCCAAGGTCTCTTCCAATGGACAGATGTTTTGAAAGAGAAATTGACAGTTTCCCCAAATTCACAGAACAAGACAGGTTTCTAAATGAAGTGGCAAACACATCAACAGCAAAGATGTTGGGATGAAGCATCATTCACTCTGAGATGACCTATCAAAACACCTCTGATAAATGAGCAACAGAACACAACTTGCAAACACAACCCAGTTTCTGCAAGTAATTTTTCTTCTTTAAATGACTTTTCTCCCTGGCTTACTGGGGTAGGGATGGTGAGGGTGGTTTCACAATGAAGCAAACTTATTTATCTTCACAATTTGGTCCTTGTTCTGAAGGAAGGAAAAGAACATAAAATAGTTGATAGAACCTTGGGAGTAACAAAAGAGTACATCCTACTTTCGGCACAAAGCAAACTGCCAAGGATTTATAACTATAATCATAAACTTTGCTGTGCTGCTATAAATATGAAATGAAGCGACAAGTGACTCACCCACTACAATCCTATTCAGAAAACCTCAGCCGTGCCGCTTCGGGTGTAGAGCCAAAGTCTGTGTTCTTTTTTTCTTTCCTCTTTTTAAAATGGGTACAGAACATTACACGTAATGCCTCCTTCTAAAAGAAACCCTCCTCGCTTGTCTGTGATAGTATTCATCTGATTTTTCTGACATAACACTTTTTGCCTCTTCACACAAATCTGCGATATAAAACATGCCAAACACTTCTCTAACATTCTGCAAATACTCATTGACGTATACAACTCAGTTGTTCCCATCCAGCACAGACTAGCCTTTGCTTCTTGCTTTGGGCAGTGGAGGGTCCCCAGCTACCTCTGAAGACCCACTAGGAGGAGGAGACTTCTTTTCCAGCAAAAATAAGGCCCCTAAAAAAAGAAGGAAAAAAAAAGAAGGCCCCTACTAAACTAAAATGCAAGGATGCAAATTTTACAGCCCTTCATTGGGCTTGCTAAGCACAGCTGCACTGCAGGCTGTGAGCTATCTATTGTCAGTGGACCTGGCAGGGCCACAGCAAAGCAGCCTGCCTCAGGAGTCACCATTATGTGCTACTTTTAACAGTCCCCTTGCGAAGTAAAGAGTGCCACAGGAGGACCCATCTCCCAAGGTCTCACAGAGGAGCTTCAAAGGCCATCAATGTGCAACCCTGAGGAATGAGTCTGACCAGAACTTATGTAAACTGAGAAAATACATTTCAAGCTTTATTTTCGCTGATTGTGATGGAAATAGCCACATGTGGGAGAAGCTCCTGTTTGAGGTAGTGGAGGCCTGGAGGCCAAAATGCCCTGCTGTGACTGCAAACTATTGCAGGAAAATCTTCCATAGGAGACACGTAATAGGGCTTCTCAGAAACCTCAGCTCCCTGAATCAATCCTCTTTTTAATTCAAAAAGTGACACAATCGCACACTGTGATAGGGCAATTATAAGGGCTATTAAAGTGTAATTTGTCCAGCTGACCTGGTGGCTTTCAGAAGATAAAGTATATCTAACTCACTTCAGTACTCCCCTCAATGACCAGCAAGCAGTATGCAAAGTATGGTGCCGGGTGTATTCCTGTAACACATCCATAAACCCAGCTGCCTTCAAGCTGGCTGACTCACAGCACTCCCACTTGTGTCAAAGTAAAACTACGCCCCACAGAGTTTTCAAGAGCTGATAACCTGGAAGCTGATTGCCACACCTTTCTGAAAAGAGCCTCTGGGTGTACTCAAACCTCTAACCTTTAGATTAGCAGTTAAGTACTTAACCTTATGGTCCTGAGTGACTCCTGGCTATCCATTCATCACTGAAAGAACTCTTTTCTCTTCTACCGGCTGGGCCTTAGGGCTCTCAGAAGCCATCCACCAACAGAGGAGCAATAAGATGGGGATGCAGGGTAAATGTCCATATTAGAAAAGCAAGCACATCATCTCAAACTCACACATGCTCCACTTCCATTTGAGAAAAGCCCTTTACCTTGGTGACCCTGCAGATGCTTAGTTTGGTAAGTGCTGCTCAGTGGAACTTTCTGCAGTGAGGGAAATATTCTGCATTCAAGCTCTCCAATATGGTAGCTACTAGACTCATGTGGCCACTGAGAAGCTGAAATGAGGCCAGTGTGCCTGAAGAGTTTAATTTTTAAATTTCATTTTAATCCAAACAGCCACATGTGGCTAGTGGCAATCATGGGGCAATGTAAAGGCCTGGAAAGTCTACAATTCCATGTGACAAGAGTAGAAGATCTGACACAGGAGACATGCACTGGTCTTCCCAGAGGCCCCAGCCAGCTTCCTAAAACCCTCTTCTCTCTTCACCAAAGTGAGAGAGTCCCCACTTCAGGCTCAAGTGCTCTAGTCATAGATACCTGGCTTGTACATCTAGACTTGCGTGTGGTCTGCAAAACCACGGTGTCACACAAAGGAGTTCACGCTCTCCACTGCAGCCTCAGCTGGGCAGGAGGCTTTGAGCTGGAGGAAGGTAGAGCATCATCTGAGCTCAGGAAGTCACAGGAAGCAATGGGCAGAGGGATTATTTCGACAGAGGTGCTAAGAGCACATATAAGCTGGAAAGCGTGTTTGCTGTGGTCAGGGACAGGGGAGGCAAAGACCTCACAGAGAAGAGGAAAGTAAGATTTGCAATTCACCTGTGAATGCACTGAATGGCTGAAGCCTAGTAACTCGAGTGATAAACATTTACAGCTTAAATAAAGTGCCTTCTTGCTAATTCTTTGCTGTTGGGGGAGGCATTCTGCTTCTGTATTTTGGACCAAATATGGGACTTAAAAGAATGGGCATACAATGAATATAGTCAAGTTCGTAATAGTTTTCTTTTCTTGTCCTACTTTTGCTTACCATGTCAGCTTATTATCTCTTCTTTACTTCCAATAACAATTTAAGAGACTTAAGAAACAAAGAAAATCATAGCTGTTCTACACAAACTTTTTCTTCGTATTAACCACAAAACAGAAACAAAATCAAGACAAAAGCCCTGGAGGCACACAGATTCCAAGAGGGCTTTGTGTGGGGAGAAAAACAATTATTCTATTTCAGAGATCTGAAATTATGCAGAGTTAAGACTTGAGAGAATTTAGAGAAATAACAGTCAATACTACCCTAGAGTCTGCGAAAAGAACAAACAAATCTGTCTGCGAGGAAATGTAACCAGGGTGCCCCTTAGAGAGGAGTAAGGACGGTGAGACTATCTCACATCCTTGGGGCACAGTGCCAAGAGAGGCCAGTCCTTGGGAAAGGACATCACGCTGCAAAGGCAGCGGGTCAGCTAAAGAGTGGGAGATCCTAATTAGAAAATATTGACACAGTGACTGCAAAAATGGGCTTGAGCGATAGGGCAAGGTTCTGACCTTTGTTCCAGGGGTCACTGTGCGGCATGGTTGCCTCCCGAGAACCTAATAACCGTCACTACTCTAGAGTCTAGACCTTGAGAATATGGAATGATGTAAATTGAGATTTGCTCATGAAACTGGACACTATTCTAGACAGTTAACAAGTAGTTGGGAACTCTGGTGGTCTAGTGGCAAAAAGCTGTGCTGCAATCCCCAAGGCACGTGGTTTGAGGCCACCAGCGGCTCTGGAGGAGAAGGATGGGCAATCTCCTCCCCTGCAATCAACTGCCTCTGAAAATCCACCAGAGGGTCAGCCAGGGGTCAGTTCCCACTTGATGGTACACAACAACAAAAGAAGAAGTTGGAGAGTAGGTCTTTTTCTACAGAAGAAAAACACTGTAAGCTTTGCACAACAGGCATAAGGCTGTCTTCACGTGAGGGAGGTGGAGTGGCCGACTCTGCTCTGATCATGGAGATCTAGAGAGCTGCTGTGGGGAGGGGGTTTGCAGGTTCTGGCCCTTGATGCCCTCAAAGGGAAACCCAGGTCTGTGCAAAATCCTCCAAGCCCAAATAACCAAACACAAAGAAAGAAGTAATGCGAGGGTCTTACTCTCGGTGGGGACTCCGGTTCTGAGACACCTCAGAATCGCTGTCTTTTGGTGACAGGGAGCTCTTGTACGTATAAAACACATCTTCCGTCTCGGTGATGTACGTTATCTCATTGGCAAGGTTGTCTGCGGAAGAGTGCCGAGGCTTTCGGATTTCATGCCGGAGCCGCGGGCTTCGCCTGGTTGGGAAAGAAGGAAATTCTAGGTTGTTGGAAGCGAACTCCATTCAAAATATTTTCTACATCAGTGATCTGACCAAGTGCCTTGATGTGGGAATTCCTACGACTCCAGTCTGTAGGAATGACCCATTTCTATCAGAAGTTGAGAGTTGGGTACCCCATCACTCTAATAGCAGGAGTTCAGCCAGTGGGACTACATCCCCAGTGCCACCAGGCACACGGTGTGACCCCAGAACAGCACTCTCAGCTGTACAGTCAGGCGGCACTGGGCTGGGATGGCTTATGCCCTCTGGGAAGTTGATTTGGGGTGGGGGAGGGTAGTTCTTCCTGCAGGGAGATTCAAGCTCTCAAGCCTGACTGACTGCTAATCAAAAATTTTTCTGAGTCACTTAAATTGTGAAAATAAAGGGCTGAGATGCCAATGTTTATTACTTGGTAGAATGCTGTCCTATTTCAACCACCTTTCTTCATGTGAATTTCACCTGCATCCAAAAGTTCATTTTCTTTTAAAGAACCCATTTTTGTGGAGCTGATTCTGACGTTACAGGGTAGAATTGTCCCATGTGGTCCCCGGGCTTAATGTTCATGGAAGCACATTTTCCTTGATAGAGTGGCTGGTGGCTTCAAGCTACCAACCTTTCCATTAGTCGCTGAGCACGTAACCACTGTGCCACAGAGCTCCTTTTCTTTTACAATGCAGAGCTAATTGGACAAGGAGCATGGTAGCAGTAGCTATGTGACCTTAAACTCATCATGCCACCTCTCTGGGCCTCAGCTGCCCCGGCCAGTCCCTGAGTATTAACCAACAGAGGCAGTATTCTCAGACACCTAGGATAGCTCCTGGGCCTTGTCTCCTTCTGTGGGTGGCTCAGGCCACTGGATTTTCCAAGTTCTACTTTGCCTCCCAGTTTCCTGGTCTTCCCTTTTTGGTAAGTCATTTCTCCTTGGGAGGGTAAGGGCTGCTGCTTTTTGCAATCCCTGTGGACCTGGCTAATCAATAATAGCACTGTGTCTAAGCAGAAGAAAAAAAAGGCTCTCTGCTCTCAGGAGAGGACCTATAAATAGCACCATGCTCCAGGCAGAGAGTGGCACCACCTTATCCCGCTGCCCTCCTGGCTCCAGTGCTTTGCATCCCTGGCACCGCTGCCTAAGATACTTTCAGATCAATGAAGCTGCTACATTATCGCCTAAATTTACCTCCATAGGGTAAGGTGCCTAAATCTTGAAAACTGAGAAAGAAACCTATTCCATCATGTCATGATTTTTAGCACTGTGAACCCCATCATCCCCCACACCAGGAGCTCATGGCCCCTGGTGAAGAGTCCTGGCTCAGCTCAGGGCTGTCCCTTCCTCTCACCCTCATCTTTACAGTTTCCCTGAGTCATAATGGGCACCAGCCTGGTCATCCATGGCCCACCCTATCTGGAGCATCACAATCAGGAAGCATGCTCTGACCAGAGCATGGAGCAATGCTTCCTGCTGGATGTCCTCTCTTCCCAAGGCCCGGTCTTTGAGGAAGGCATTTCCCAAAATGGCCTGATGGGACCTGCGGGGAACTGTTGTTCGCTGGTGCTGTCAAGTTGCTACAACTCAAGGAACCCAGTGCTGACCTCTGAAATGACTGAGCGCACTGCTACAGTCACTGTGGAAATTCATTTTGGTGCTTCTGAGGAGCACCCCAAGTATACTTCTTCCAGGACAGACTTGTTTGTTCTTTTAGAAGTCTAGGATAATAAAATAATGGTAATAGCAATTCCATCAATGCTTTGTATAAACTTTCAAGACCTTATACATTACTATTATTATATTTTTAATCCTATTATGGATGTGGAAACTGAGACGAGGGTGGCAATTGTTAAAACATGTTAGCTTTAACTTGAGAGCCAACAATGTGAATTTCAGTGTTTTTTTCTTTTTTTTTTTTTTGGATTTCAGTGTTTTGACTGTAATCTCATCCTCCCCTGAATACACTATGAGCATGTCACTTGTCACCTTTCAGCTGGGCCTCTGCTCTCAAAAGCTGGTAGGCTGCTGTCGCCACTGCAGCTGAGTAGCACTGATCCTTATATCAATTCCATCATGCACCTTTATTAGCTTGTCCCAAAGATTATCTCCTATGACAGGGACAGGGACACAAAATTACATAAAGTGCTCCATTGTCAGAGGTCCACAGCCTACATTAGCTAATGTGCTCTCTCCTTCTAAGAGGGGCATTCCATCATGCTGGGGTCCCCAGTCTATTTAGATCAAATAACTTTTTAAAAAAGAATGTTGAAACATTGTAACACCACAGAAAGGGTGTAGTTATAGACTCTGTTCTTAACAGAAACAGGTCCCTTCTGTAATAGAAAAAAAAAGTCATGTAAAAATTCAAATGGTTGACCACCTACATGTAGGAATTTATCAAGTGTTTATTTTGTTTTTAAATGAAAAAGTATTTAGTAGTGAGGAATACCAAAAGTGGAGGACGTACCAGTTGGGAGTAACAGGAGGGGACCGTGAAGGTAGACTCTTGGTTTCCAGATGCTCCACCGATAAGGATCTCCACATGGCTGGGTTCCACACCATCCCTCCGATCACCTTTTTACAATACTGGTTATTTAGGGACCTGAAAAAACCCACAAGGCAGGTTCATTTACTACACTGGCATGCTCAAAGAGAAAGAAATGATGGCATCCATATGTAACACAGGCCCAGACACCCTCCTATCCCTGACCAACACCTGGTTAAGCCCTTGGTGACATAGTTAAGGTTAAAAGCAGGCTATACAGTCAAGATGAGTTATTATTTCTTTCTCTCTTGACTTTTATTTTCAGTGTTTCTTCTTTCCTGGAGAGAATGCTTTCTCGTTCTTTTATACTGCAAGCAACAAACTTTACTGGATTAGATGGAATTTCAGAATAACACAAAAATATGGTTCAAGTGGCTTCAAGGAATCTTCACTTTACTCACACCAGCGTGGGGAAGAGCATCAACTATCCTCCCAGGCATCGCCTGTTATCCTAGCGGGCAGAGCTGCCACTGTAAATCAATGGTAACTCTGAGAGGGAATGTGAGAATATGTTTAGAAATTTAGAGTTCTGTGCTACAGTCTCTGTGTTAGTGTGAAGGTTACTTTCAAATTTTATTTATATCTAAAGAATTCAGATCTCAGTTTACTAGAAAATTCAATTCAGAGAATGAATTATTTTAAAGTAATTGGAGAGGGCCAAGAAGGTAGACTCTCAGTTTCTAAACTTGCATCTGAAGCAAGTTTAGGAATAACTCTTTCAATTCTAGAATTTCAACCACAGAGTCAAAATCATTTAACTATATTTTACTGTGATAATTAAAGATTCTGCTTATTTACTTGTGGCCTAAAATCAATCTACACACAAAAAGGAAAAATCAGACCACACAAAATATTAGAAATAATACAAAGCATTTGCTAGACTATCAAGGTAGTAAGTAATTTAGAATAAAGGAGCTCTGGTGGCCCAGTGGCAAGAAGCTGCACTGCAATCCCAAAGGCATGCATTTCAAGGCCACCAGCTGCTCCACAGGAGAAGGATGAGAAATCTCCTTCTGTGTGATTAACTGCCTCTGCAAACTTGCCGGAGGGTCAGCTGTGTGTCGGTTCTGACTCTACAGTACACAATTTATAATGAGGTCTAGTGGCCGACTGGTAAGGAGTTGTGCTGTCAATTCAAAGGCACACAATCTGAATCCACCAGCTGAAAATGGGTAATCTCCTGTGCAACTTACTGACTCTGAAAATTTGTTGGACGGTCAGCTGTGAGTCAGTTTTGACTTGATGGTACAACAACAACAATTTATAATAAGGGAGCACTGGCATTGTTGTCCATAGGGAGTTGTACTGCTAACTCAAAGGCTGAGCTTCTCTGGGGATTTGAATCCACCAGCGGCTTCCAGAGAGAAAGATGGGCAATTTCTTCCTATGCAATTTGCAGTCTCAGAAACCTCAGAAACTCACAGGGTCAGCTATGAGTCAATTCCAACTCAACAACGACTTCAGAGAGAGAATTTATAATAAGAAACACTGTTGTCACCCAGACCAGGATGCTCACAGTTGCATCATGACAAGATTCTTTCCTCTGAGCATGCTTATATCTGGGACCAACCAAAATGAACCAGCCTGAGTGGCTGATTCTGATCCATGGTAACTCACAGGGTACAGAGTAGAACTGTGTCACAGGATTTTCTTGGTTGTAATCTACAGATTGTCAATCCTTCTGCAGTGTTGCTGGGAGGGTATGAACTGTTAGCTGAGAGACAGAGAGAGACAGAGTGTGTGTGTGTGTGTGTGTGTGTGTGAGAGAGAGAGAGAGAGAGAGAGAGGGAGAGAGAGAGAGAGAGAGAGAGAGAGAGAGAGAGAAGTGAATTGAAAGCACAGAATCAGAACAAAGGAAAAAGATAAAAACTTGAGCCTGCTCTGTAGCAAAGTCCTTGCTTTTGCTTGCCTCACTGTGACACCTGTTAAGTGGTAGGAGGGATTAAGCCCAACCTGAGTAAATACTCCAGTAAGCTATTTCATGACTTGTTCAAGAATCTTTCTCACTGATATCAAGTCAGTTCCAACTTACAGTGAGTTCCCGTTAGGTTTCTCAGACTATAAATTGTCATGACAGGAGAATTCCCTGGTGGATTTGAACTGCCAGAGACTTAGAGCCTTTGAATTAACAGTGCAACTCACTATGGACCATGCTGTTGGCACTCCCAATTCAGGAACAGAGTTACCAAGGGGACCAAAAAAAAAATTACAGTGGGAGGAGCTCTGGTGGCATAGTGGCAAGAAGTTGTACTGCAATCACAAAGGTACACTGTTCGAATCCACCAGATGCTCTGCCGGAGAAGGAGGGACAATCTCCTCCTGTACCAGTCAGATCTGATTTGACCGTACATGCACAAAAAATAAATTTTAAAAAAAATTACAGTAATACTGCTGTTGTTGGGTACTGAGTTAGAACTGACCCCACTGCTGGTCTTCCAGCAGGTTTTCAGAAGCAGTTGAGCTCACAGGAGGAGATTGCCCATTTTTTCCTGTAGAACTGGTGGATTCAAACCTCATGCCTTCGGATTGGCAGCACAACTCCTTAATACCAAGGCACAAGAACTTTCTAGCAGACAGGAGCATCAGAGATGAAAACTTAAAATAGAGCTTGCTCTCAGTTTATCAGAGGTTGAGTGTTATGTATTTTTATTGGTATTAATAGTAACTGCTTCTCATGGAATCTAGATATATTTTCTGTTGCGATGGGAAAGTCTGCTGTTAGGGACCTCTCTAAAGTACTCAAGAGCAACGCGTCTCTCTGGAGACTAAGGTGCGCCTGATACAGGCCATGGTCTTTGCAATCACTTGTTATGCATCAGAGAGTTGGACAATGACTAGGGAGGACAGAAAGAAAATTGATGCCTTTGAACTGTGGTGCTGGAGAAGAGTACTGAATGTACCCTGGACTGCCAAGAAAACAAACAGATTCATCCTGAAGAGGATTAAACCAAGCAACTCCTTGGAGGCAAGGATTCTGGGGCTTCGTCTGACATACTTTGGACATGTTGCAAGGAGAGACAGGTCCTTGGAGAGGGACATCATGCTTGGGAGGGTGGAGGGACAGCGCAGGAGGGGAAGACCCTCTATGAGGTGGATTGATTCAGTGACTGGGGTAATCGGAATGGGTGCGTCAGAGGCAGTGCGATTGGCACAGGATAGTGTTTAGGGCTGGCTGTTGTACATAGGGTCTCTATGAGTCGCAAATGACTCGACGACACAGAACAACAACAACAAATTTGAACAGTGATGCAGTTCTACATAAGAGTGGTTCAGACAGTGGCATCATTTAGTAACAGCCCTGTGATAAACACAAAAAGGAATTTTTTAAAAACCAAGATATGATTTAGAAATTTTAGTGATGTGATACTTTCTGCCTCATCTTACGTAATTTAGAAAGGATTTGTACAATAAATAAACCAAAATATAAGCCATAAGGCCAATTTACCGAAAGTAGAAAAAATTTTATTTAAAGACTATGTATTCTTTTCTTTACTGGACTAGTCATTAAACATTTTGGATATCATTCCTACAGTATTCCTTTTAAAAAAATATATTTTACTGTGATATTAACTGAAGTTTACAGAAAGGTTGGATTTTCATTCATTCACTGTTGCACATTTTCCTCCCCCCCCCCCCAGTTCACTTTCGTTCTTAATATTAATTTATGGTTACATTCCATAGCATTCTTTTTCAAGAACTGAATATAATTAAGAGTGTGCCTCAGACAAAATATGCACTCAAACTGCCCACTACAATTCTTAATTACATTATATTATAGTATTCCAAAGTCATCGACTGTTGTTATTTGCTGTTGAGTGGATTCCAACTCCTAGTGACTCCATGTGTCAGAGTAGAACTACCTCCTAGAGTTTCCTTGGCTGTAATCTTACAGAAGCAGATCTCCAGGTTTTTCTCTCATGGAACCACTTAGGTGAGCTTCAACCTACCAACCTTCTGATTAGCACCTGACAACTTAAGTCTCTGTGCCCCTAGGGTTCCTCGTTTGACTCTAGATGTGGTTATGTGTATTTATTCATCTCTGGGGAGGATCTCATGGAATGAATGTCTTGGGACACTGGAACTTAGTGGCATCAGCCAGGAAAGACTTTGCTCAGCACACAATGACTCTATCATCCCCACATGTTCCCTTGATTGCTACATGGTACAGGGGAGCTGCCATTCTCTGCTTCCCTATCCACATCTCAGATTAATGCTGACAATTCCCCTTGAGACTACTCACTTTTTGGGGTTCCTAGAGCCCATAGTCCAGTACTGAGACAAAACATTCTTTTCCTGAGGTAGTAGCTTCTTTACTTGAAAGAACGTATGGTGCTCGACACAGGATTTCCATAAGTTTTTGCAAGAGCGGTAATTTAACATGTTGAAGGACACGATATGTTCTCTGGATTCGGGCTGGGGAGAAAAACACAGTGGTCATTTCAGCTGGGCAGGGATAGGAGCGAGGCCGCAAAAACATTTTATGCCCATACTGGTGATAAACAGGCAAGGTACAACAGAAAACGGACTTCTAACCATTGTGGGCTGAAAGCCAGCTTTTCAAGAAAATTTCAGAGCAGTTTTTAATTGTACTTTTGCTGATGGGTGCTGCTGAGTCAATTCTGACTCATGGGGACTCCATGTGATTGAGCTGACTGTCCCCACAGGGCTGTCCTGGCTGCAATCTACAGGGAAAGACCATCGTGTCTTTTCTCCTGTGGGGCTACTGGGTTGGCTCCAACCACCAACCTTTCAGTTACTAGTCAAGTGCTTAACTGCTGCATTACTGCTTTTGTTGTGTGCCATTGATTTGGAACTGACCAGTAGCTGACCATTCAGCAGGTTTGCAGAGGCAGTAAATTGCACAGCATGGGACTGCCCATTCCTCTTCACGTTGCTTAGGTAGGGGGCTCCTTTAACCAAACCCCTGTTGTTGAGTTGAATGCAACTCCTTGGCAACCTGACATTGGGATTTCCAAGCTGTAAATCCTTTATAGGAGAATGACCGTCCTTTTCCCTTGGTGGATTCAAACTCCTGACATTTCAGTTAGCAGCCCAACACAAAATACACTGTCATCAGAGTCGCACTGACAAAAGAATAGCTCTGTCCTGTAGTGGGTGAAACCAAACTGTTCCTTAGAGGAAAGGATTTTGAAGCTCTAACTCACATACTTTGGGCATGTTGCCAGGAGGGACCAGTCCTTGGAGAAGGATGTCATGTTTGGGAGGGTAGAAGGATAACACAGGAAAGGAAAATGAAATTGTCAGAGACAATTAAATTGGCTCAGGATAGGAGTAGGTTTAGAGCTATTGTACAGGGGTTGCTATGAGGCAACTCAACAGCACTGAATCACAACAACAATAATAACAATGAGTGTGGTAACAAAGATGACTAGTACATATTCTTTATCATGTCTGTGGTTCTTTGTAAACACTTTTATTTCATGCTTGTCACATTTCTAGGTTGGTAATGCCTAGAATGATAAAAGCCTAATAGATAAAAAATGACATAAATAATAATTATTACTATTTACTAATATTAATATTTAAGAAAATAATAGATAAGCCTAATAGATAAACACCTAATATATTCTTTAAAAAAATTTTAGTTTCAAGAAAAGCTGTTTCTTGAGAAGCTGATCTTTCTCTAAGAGGCAAAAAGAATTTTACAGTCCTTGCAACTTCTTTATTTGCCTTCCACAAAGCACAAAGTTAAATTCAATACTCACATCTAACAGGCCCTTTAATTATTTGCTTCAACCTCATGCTACATGAGTTGAGATTTTCTGTTTTCATGCATTTTTGTGCCACTTCAAATTTTACACCAGATTCTAGGAGATCTCAATTCTAATCTTAATTTGCCCCCAGCTGTTAATGTTTTCATCTCAAAGAGTTCACTTTTATGTTGAGTCATTTTAAGTAATACTGTCTTTGAAAAATGGACATAATGACAATAAATGGAGCAAGGTGGGGGGTGGTATAAGGAAGGAGCAGAGATCTAGGGTTCACAAAAATTTGGGCTCAGTTCTGGCTCCCCAGGTTCCAACTGTGAGAGTCCTAGTGCCCTCACATGTCATTCAGAGTTTTCCATGTAGACAGTCATACTCAGCTATCCACAGAGGATGGACTCCTTCTAGAAACAAAGACATAGGATGTGTGCATTTTAAACACACGAGGGAACGTACTGCCCTTGTGACACTGACTGCTGCTCTGTGGCCACTCAGCGCCAGCTGCTCTGGTCAATGCTATCATATTTAATCCTCAGGATTCCTCAAGAAGTGGGCATTTTTTGGAAACAAAGTTGAGTTGGGTTAGGTGAAGTTAAACAACCTGACCAGCTGTTAAGTTGAAGATCTGGATTATGAACCTTCTGTCTCTGACCTCACAACCAGTTAATTCTCCAATCATTTGAGGAAAATGAATTATCTAGAGAACTCTGGACACCAATGCCCATTTTCTCTTTATCATGTCATGCTTGTCCCAGCCACCAGCTGCTGAGTCAGCTCCAGGTCATGACAATCCCATGTGTGTCAGGGGAGTACTGTGCCCGTTGGGGTTTAGAGTTTGCAATGGCTGAGGCTCCAAGGAACCTCCAGGAAGAACCTCCAACTTTTCAGTTGGCAGCCAAATGAATTAATCATTTGTATTACCCAGTTTTCCTCCTTCCCAGACACTCCTTCCATTCCTGAAGGACTAAGAGGTGAGGTAACAAAAAATACAACAAACAACACTTCAACAATTTAGATCCTCCCAGAAGAGCTGTGGGTGAGCATTAACATTACTGGTAAGTATATTCATTTTCTCCTGGACACAAGAGCCTACTATTTGGTCCTAAAAGCCTTCAGAGATCCCAACTCTTCTCACTATTTCTTAGTTGTTGGAATTGACGGAAAACCTCATAAGCAGTTCCTTACTTCACCTATGTCTTGCATGCGAACTTCCGAGCTGTAAAACAACACAGTGGTAGATGGAATTTGGTCTAGGACTTAAGAACAATAAGTGACACAGTTGAGCCTCTACATCTTGTGGTTCCTAACCTTTATACTATAATAGACAAAGTGCTAGTCAATAGGCCTTTTACTTTAAGAACTACCTTCCCTTTGTAATTTGATTTGTGCCACTATTAGAACCTCTCCTTGGAATATTATTGCTTTTTAATTTGACTCATGTACTTTTAACTTGTTAGTTAAATTTGTGTCTTCTAGGCTGCAACACTACCATAATCATCTTCAAGGATATGAACTTGTACGGCTAAGCACAACTGATAACAGTGCATCTAAATTCCAAAATCAATCTCCACAATAGTCTAAGTGTTTCCTATTGCCAAAGGGCCCTTTAGAGTAGTGAGAGAAGATCTTCACCCTGAAACCTACAGCATCCCTTTTCAGCAGGAAGTAGCTAAGAGAATACGCTGTCCCCTTTTCCTTATGAATCAGGGTGAAGTCTCTCTCAGGGAGGAGTGATAGGGAATGGCAAAGGACACACTGACGAAGGAGATTAATCAGAACTGGCTTTGACAAGCACTGTGGCAACGGCACAATTAAAACAGACTTTCAAGGGGGGGGAAAAGAGGAACGAACTGGGGGGTGAGGGTAGAGAAAATAGTGCAACAATGAATGAATGGAAACCTAAAATCTCTGTAAATGTTCATTAAAATTAATAAAATTTAAGAAAAAACCCATAAAAGAAACAGAAAAATATACATAAATTAAAAAAAATATAAACACAGCAAACAAAACAATTGTAGACACAACTCACCTGTTTCTGTCGCTGATGTATAAAGAACTTTTTCCTTTTGAAAGAAATTTTTAGAATGTTCACCCTATTAAAAAGGGGAAAAAATACCCCACAATAAATAATTAAGTAAAAGGACAAATGCTATATAAGGGTGCTACTGTATAAACAGGAGGGTAGCTGGGGGATGGGGGTAACAGAGAGCAGAAATGGAATGGATAAAGCAAAGGACACTGTAAAGGATCAAGACGAGGGAGGATCATCCTGAGAAGAACTGATGAAGGGACAATTAGCAAATAGGAACAAGGTGTTCAAATGGGGAGGGGGAGGGGGATAATGGAAAAAGGAGGGGGGATCCACTAGCAGCAGAGATTAGTAGATGGATGAGGGGGGAATGAAGGTGTAGGCAAGATGCAGTGGGAATTTAGAGACAAGCTGATAAAAGGCATCAATCAGCAGTAATTCATGACATAAAACAATGTATATGAATGACTATAAAACACAATGCACATGCATAAAACACAATGTATATAATGTATATGAATGACTAATAAGCATCTCCTCAATTAAGCCTTACAACAGTTCTGAAAAAACAAAGAACCCGTAAAATGTAGTATTATATCCAATTTCAGCTGAGGATACATACTCAGGCTCAGAGATACCCCCTAAGTGTCCAATTATCAATCAAATATAGCCAAGATATGTCCACAAGCCTTCTCTGACTACACAGTCCATGTTCTTGATCAAGTCCCCCAGACAGTGGTGATAACAATGAGCATTAAAGTGGGCGAGGCATGAAAATCCCCTACTATGATGCCTGACAGGTGACAGCTCAGTGTCCCAGCTCAGCAACCCATCCCTGGCTTCCATGCTAACTCCAATTTCTGTGCTACACAACACTCTCTCCCTGAGTAAACCTAATTAAATGTAAACAAGATCTATGTCGTCCCCTGGCTTTTGGGTCCGCCATAATTCCCTACTGTTCTTCACAAAAGTACTAAGTGTCGAGAATGTCTGAGTAATGTGCCAAGGAAGCCCTAGGGACAGAGTGAGCAAGGGAGTCAGTCACCGCCACCTTAAAGTTCATAATCTAGTGAGGGAAAAGTATCAAATAAATAATTAGTGACCTAATTAAATCACTGTAATTGTGATTACTGCAGGCAGAAAAGTTCAGCGTCTTCTAAGAAGGCTATAAATGAAATCTGTGCTCTGGAAGCCCCTGAGGTTCTTCGTGACCCAGCTACTCTCCCATCATTCTCACACTTCCCCTTCACTCATATGCTGGGTTCTCCCTCATGTCTGAACCTCCAAATAAGCTGCTCATTCTGTGTAGAAATCACTCCCTGGGATAAACCCCAGTGGGTCTTCATATTAGGTTTAGAGCTCACCACCTCTCTGGGCTTGAGACCCTTCCTTCGTGATGCCTTCTCTGGAATGTGCCTCTTCACATCATATTTATGGCCTGAGGTCACCACCTGTAATGTCTACTTCCTTGCTAGCCTGTGACCTTGCCATCAGAGTCCAGAGCCAGGTCTGGACAGAAGCTGGCCTGATTTCAAAGGTCAAAGGTGACCTGGGGGGGGCGGTGTCTGTGTGTAAGTCTATGGGCTAAAGAGGTGAAAAGTTTATGCAGGCTCTATTAGAAAAGCTTGTTGACAAATCAGCTTCCCCTGACACTTCTCATCTACTTGAATTCTGTCCCCTTTCAAATATGTGCTGAATCCTAAACCCTAAAACCATATGAATAACTGTGCCTTCAAACAGGGATTGGGTTTCTTATTTTATGCTAGTAAGGTCATATAAGAATAGGGTGAGTTCTCCACCTAATTACTTCTAAGTGGTGTCTTAGAACAAGTGCAGAACAGATACAGACATATATGCACACACTAAGGGGAAAGAAAATGTCTGAGAATGCCAAGAAACTCTTGGGCTGCTGATGAGAAAGAAAGGACATTTCCTTGGAGCCAATAGCCTGATCCAGACTTCTAGCCTCAAAAACTGCGAGACAATAGATCCCTCTTGAACCTGACAGGCCATGGTCTTTGCAATTACTTGCTATGCATCAGAGAACTGGACAGTGAATAATGATGACAGAAGATGGATCAATGCCTTTGAGCTGCGGTGCTAGAGAAGAGTACTGAACATTCCATAAATTGCCAAGAGAACAAATAGGCCTGTTCTGGAGAGGGTGAAACAATTTGCTCCTTGAAGGCAAGGATTTTGAAGCTCCGTCTTACAGACTTTGGGCATACTGCCAGGAGGGACCAGTCCCCTGGAAGAGGACATCATGCTTGGAAGGGTGGCAGGACAGCACAGGAGAGGAAGACCCTGGACGAAATAGATTGACACTGTTAACTGGGGTAATGGGGGTAGGTGTGTTGGAGACAGTGAGACTGGCTCAGGATAGGGTAGGGTTCAGAGCTGTTATACACTGGGTCGCAGGTAAAGCAACCGCATGTAATAAAAACATCAAGCCATTTACTGTGGTATTTGTTACAGCAGCCTTGGGAAACAAAGAACCTCCTGATGAGAGTCTTCATGGAACTCAAACCTTTATCTGTGGAGGCTTAGGCGGCTGGGCCTGGAGGCATCAGGCCTGTGGCATCAGAGAGTCAGCCGTGGCATCTGAGGGAGAGGAAATCAGCCCTATGTCCGCTCTCCACTAGGCCCTCTACTTAGTCCCCAGCCATAGGGCTGCCCAGACCACCCTTCAGTTAACTGACATACTAAACTCTGATTTCTCTCCTTAAAGTCATTTCCATTCAGAGTAAGACCTGATGGTTGTGTCTTAATACTGCTGTTGTTGCTCCTAAGAGCCCCTCATTCAACTACAACTCATGTGACCCTATGAAACCTTGTCCTATCCTGTGTCATCCTTATGGTCCCTGCTGTGAGACTAACTTATATAGCTGTTGCTGTGTTGTTGTTGTGTACCACAGAGGTGGAAGCAACCCATAGCAGACCCTCCAGCAGGTTTTCAGAGGCAGTTAAACACACAGGAGGAGACTACCCGTCCTTCTCCTGCAGAGCAGCTAGTGGCCTTGAACTGTGTGCCTTTGGGATTGCAGTGCAGCTTCTTGCCACTAGGCCAAAAGAGCTCCTATATATGGCTGTTGTGTAAAAATTCTTTGTGCCTGCCAGGCTCACAAGCTTACAGGCCAACCTGCTGCAGATGTCCTGTGGGTTCTCTTGGTGTTTAGAACAGAGCTGGACTTGGTAGAAATTCAACTAGGAACGGAGGGACACTACTGAAGGCACAGCTCTGAAGCGCTCCTCTGACTGCTTGGCAGTGCACAGGGCCGCTCCTTGTGTCATTTTACCCACCAAGTCTCCAGAGTCTCTCAACTATAGAGTGACCAGGAGAGGGGCTATTGATGTTAACCATGTCTTCATTACTATGACCCCATCTGGACCAAAGCAAAGGACAGAGGTAATACCTTGGGGAAGATCTCTCCTAACTGCTAGAGAAATAAGTTTAAAATGAGAGATAACAATACTTTGGTTGAGTATATTTTTAAAACATGATTCAGAAAGCAATTAGAACTGGCTTGCACTTACCAAGGATAGAAACTTGTGCAAATGTATTTTCGGTACACAGCGATGCCCGCAGAAGCAATTCCAATCATTAGATCTAAATTGTGCAGATCCTGTGAAGAGGAAGATGGCAGACTCACAGCCCAGTACAGTCATGCTTGTGCCCTCCAGCAACTTCAAAGCACCCACGCTTTTATAAATAGTAATATGCATAAACTCTAAAGGGGGAAATGTGACTGCAGACAGGCAACGATCTCCACTTCACAGATATTTAAGATCCGAGTTTTCAGCACCAAATTTCTTCTGGAGTGAACCTGCGTAGCCTGGCTGCAACACCTGGAATCCACTAGCCCTAAATGACCAGATTAACCCATTCACGAAATAGGTACATTTAAATGAATATTCAATTTCAACAGTATTTTTTTTAACAATTAGTATTGGATAATCATATTAAAATCACAAAGGCCTCTCTCCCCTCCACCCAGGCTTATCTATATCTAGACTCCTAGCACTGAAAAATGTTTTTGGTGTTCGCTGCCATTGACTCAGAATGGCCCACAGCTGAACTTCTAGTGGGTTTTCTGAGGCTGTGAATTCCATGGGAAGAGACTGTCCACCTTTCTCCTATGGAACAGCTAGCTGATGAACTTGAACCTTGTGCCTTCAGGTCAGCAGCACATTTTTACCATAAGCCAGCACAGCGTCCTGTAAAAAGCCTTAGCTATTCCAATATCATGATGAAAATGTAAGAGTCCAGGAGTGCTGACTGTATATCCAATTAAGAAACAAATATTTCTTGTCAACCCAACATACTATTAAAATGAAAATATTGCAATATTAAGTGTGTATAAAAACTTATTTTTTCAGTTCATGGACCAGGGAATGTCTGGCCTACAATTCAGACAAGAGTTCCCCTACTTCTAAACTAAAAATAAGAGCTTATGAGTTCACAATTTAATATTGGGAACATTTTATTTTTAACAGTTTTAATGATAAAAACAGCAGTAAGGGGAAATTCTCAACCAAATTTGAGAGATCCAGTCCTGACTGGGTATGTTCCTGGGAGAGTTAATTTATTGCCTTGGATCTTGGCTGCTAGGAAAGGTAGGTGTTTCTATGAAAGCGAAACTCAGGCTTCAGTTTGCTGACGTGGAGCTTAGCACACATGACTCCATCTGGAGGCTGGTACTGTCAGGTCAACCACATGCAATATTTATTTATTAAGAGCCTATGTGCTATCATTAAAGAAAGAGAAACCATCTTTAATGAGAAACACCTCCCCCAAAAAAGAACACTAAGAGCCCATGTGCTCAGCATTGTCTCAGACAATAGAGAGATAGGAGAAAGATACAGTGCCTAGAAACTGCTTAAAATCCTTTTAAAAACAAGGTTCTCTTCAAAATAAAATAGCTCCTGCTCTTGGATTATTCGCCTTCCTACTTCCCTAGTGAGAAGCACGGAGTTATGCTGAAGGGACACAGTTAGAGTCATTTACAACAGAGAGTGAACCTGCCACTTTCTTGCTGTGTTGTTTTGGGCTCTGAGTCTCAATTTTTCCTTCTGCACAATAAAGATCAGAGAACTGAAATGAGAGGATATAAATAAGGCACCGAGAATAGGGCTTGGCATGCGGTAGGTATATAGTAGTGTAAAATTTTTGGAACCTAGAAGTTGTGTGAGGCAGAAACTTCAGGGTAGAGAAGGAAAACACAAACTATTTTCCAGGAACAGAAAGCAACAGAAGAGCAGTAACACTGTGCTTTCAAAAGTGGAAAACTTTCATGACATGGAAAAACAAGGCACTCTTGCTGAGTTCACTTCTCAGGGGCTTCAGTGTAAATGTTCAAAATTTTCAAAAAAAAAAAAAATTTTCCTTCTCTCTCAAGAGATAGTGTGAGAAATTATTTATGGATAGCAATGTAAACAGGGGAGTTGAAAAAAGAGGTCCAAAAAACCCCAGTGCTGAAAGAGAGTGAAAAGCCTGGAGAGTATTCATTCTAGAATCGCACACTGAAAGCAAAATAAAATTTGCCTGATGAAAAGCAAGGCTGTAATTAAACACTATTATACAGCTGGGACATACAGACAACAATGGTATCAAAAGAGTCCATAAGGAGTTGTCCTGCTAACCAAGGTGGTGCTTCTCTGGTGGTTGAATCCACCAGTGGCTCTGAGAGAGAAAGATGGGCAAGCAATCTCCTGTGCAATTTAGAGTCTCTGAAAATCTGTTGGAGACCAGGTCTCAAATCATTCGGCTTGTGGCCTCTCAGTGTGCACCTGGGTCTCTGAAGTTGGGACTATTTCTGTTCACTACCTTTGCATAACCAACTACACATTTCCCAGCTGCCTTTGCAGAAAGCAGGGCCATGTGACTCAACCTGGGCAGCGTGCTAAGAGCAGAAGTGATGTGTTGTCTCTTCTGGGTTGAAGCTGGTATTCTGCCTTCTAGCTCCTTCTCTTATTACAAACACGCAGACTTCATACAAAGGTGGCTAAGCCACAGACGTGGCTCTCCTGGAGAGATGACTGGACCCATCACAGACTCTAAACAACTGAGAAATGAACTTTTGTGATACGATGCTATTAAGATATTAGAACCTACAACCAGGAGAAGATAACGTAGATGAATGGGATCTTCTAAGACTCAAATCCCTATGCACATCCAAAAACTTCTCCAACAGGGTAAAAAGGGAAGTCACTGACTG